GCTCAACCAGTGAGCGGACCGGTCTCCATATGGGATCCGAACCCTCAGCGGGAGCGCCGCCACACTCCCAAGCACCGCACTCTACCGAGTGCACCACCGAGCCAGCCAAAATACTTGTTTTTTTAATTCAGAATCTGTCCTGACTAAATTTTTATTCAAATTATTCCTTTGTAAACATCTTTCCTAAGAATAACTAAAAGGATGAAGTTCCCTTCATCCTTTCTGGTAGAAAATATGCAGCAATTTAAATCTTTATTGAAAAATAAAGTAGCCTTTCTCTTTTTCCTTCCAAGAAGAAACAACACAGCTAACCTAGGAAGTGCTTACCCATGTGAAGATCTTATAAGGCAATTGTTGGAGAGCAAAAGGAAAGCTTTGCTGGTAGGATAAAAATATCCCTCTGGTGACCAGCCTCCTACTGTTTCCTTTATGAAACTACTGGGATGAAAATCCTTTGCAATGTAGGCAGGACATGGTTCTTGACTATCAGGTGCTTTCAGTCTAACAGGAGAACAAAAGTAAAACACAAGAAACAATGGAGTGAGTTGAAGAGAAGTGTGTTTAGAGAAGGGTGATCTAGCAACGCACTGTAGAGCAGTCAGGGGAGAAGGGTAACCTGGGCTTGAATGATTGAAGCAGAGTACTGTTTGAATACAGAAATGAAAAGGAGCACTGCATGTGCTGAAGAGAGCAAGCAGGTGGACTTTATTAGAAAAGAGAGTGCCTGTTGAGAAGTAGCAAAATAATAATAATTTGACGTAAAGATAAGCTCGAGCTATATTTATCAACCTAGGTAGATCTAAGATGCATATAATGTTGAGTAAAAGAAGCAAGTCAAAAGTGAAGTACGTTTAGGAATTCATCTGTTCATCAAACTGGGCCTCTCTTCTGAGCTTCAGATCCATATAAGCCTCTGCCTGCTGGATACCTGCACTTGGATATATCCCGTATTCCATCTAGCCCAGAATTAAAGTTAGTATGTTCTCCCCCAAACCCGTCAATCAGTCAGCAAATATTTAATAAACACCTACAGTGTTCAGACACTGTGCTAGAGATAGAGCAGAGAATCAGGCAGACATGGTCGATCCCGTATTCCATCTAGCCCAGAATTAAAGTTAGTATGTTCTCCCCCAAACCCGTCAATCAATCAGCAAATATTTAATGAACACCTACAGTGTTCAGACACTGTGCTAGAGATAGAGCAGAGAATCAGGCAGACATGGTCATCATCATTCGAAATAATATAATTTCAAAATTAAAATTAAAAATTTTTTTAGTTCACAGTGCTGAGGAAGAGAAATGGGGTGTTACATGCTATGTAACTAGGGAGGCAAATCCAGTGTGGGATGAGCCCTTTCAGATGACTGGGCTTGTCTAGGTAAAGAGCAAGGGTGGGATGTGTCTCCAGCATATGGAACAGCAGCACATATGAAGATCCACTGGTAGGAGAACTGAACTGAGAGGCGGCCAGTAATGATGGAGCACAGAGAACAGGCAGAATGGTGAGACACAAGTGGGTAGAATCAACAAGACTTGATGTTTTGCCAAAGGGAGGCCTTGGTGACTCCCAGGTTTCTGGCTTCAGCAGCAGGGTTAGTAGTAGTGCCATTTACTAAACTAGGGAACATTGGAGCAGGTCTGATGTGGGGAGAGAGGGAAGAATGAAGAGAGAAAGATTGGAGACATCTAAGAGGAGATGGCAAATAGACAGTTGAACATAGAGGTCTGGTGCTCAGAGGAAGGTCTGGGCTAGAGCTATGTATTTGCATTTGATGGCACATGCATGCAAATCAAAGCTAAGGAAATAAATGAAAGAGCACAGGGAGTGTGCAGAGTGGGAATAGAAGAAGATGGCCTAGAATCAAGCCTTGAGAATGTATGTCATGGTTGCCAATCTCTGTCCCCAATCTCAGTGAATGACATTACCATCTACTGTATGGCTCAAACCACTTTTTCCTTGCCAGTCAGGTAGTAAGTTTTATTCTATTTGTTGTCAGTTCTGACACAGAAGACGAGGTGCCTCTATATATTGCCCATTAGAATCTAGAGAGTGGGTGAGCCACCAAGCAAAGCAGCTGTTTTAAGCTTTTGAAGTAAGACAGGCCACATGATCTCTGGCTACTTTGGCAAACTGTTCAACTTTGACGGAAGTGAGTGAAATAGGTCAAACCCTCTCCCTGGAACACTTCGGTGGAACCCAAGACTTCATTTCCAGTACTGCACTTTTGAAGAACCCATACTAAACCTTGCCTGGATCAGGAATTCTAATCAGATTAGAATCTTCCTGATTTACCTCAGCTAGTAAGAAAGTGAATGCCATTCCACCTATTTAATGCCCCTTCTTTTCTCCCAGTCTAATTAGCAGCATTTTGCATGATCACCTAGAGAGAGTGTTTCTCTGTCTTACATTACAGCATCACCTACGAGCCAATTAAATCCTGGGCCGTATCTTATGGACCAAGAAGTCCACCTGATGGCTAGGTGAGGTTTGACCGTTCCTGGATTTGGAGGCAGGCCCTTGGAGAGTTAAGGGCATTCAGCACTTACCAAGTTTCACTTTTACATTGGCTGTTCCAATTCCAATTACTGTCCTTTTTCAAGGAAGGAATGGGTTTTGTTTGATTCCAACCTCCACCTATAGGCTTCCAACACGTGAAAATCCTACTTACTCATTCTCATCCAAGCCCTACACCGTACAGTGAAGACCACTAAACCATAGTAGAGGCCAAGAGAGGATTCAGGTATAGTCAGCTTCTGCCCCGAGATTAAATCCAGCAATTGATCCTGTCCAGCTGTTCTGTACTGTGTGTGTGTCCATCTCCACATTTCCCCACACCCTAAAATAATCCCACGTAAAAAATTTTTTGAAGTCTTCTTTCTTGAATTCTTCTGCAGTTAAGATCATGCACAGTCGCCCTTAAATTTTTAAAATTCTGTAATGAGAATTTTTTTGAAAAGTCTTTTTACTTGTTTCTCTCTTCAGATCCCAGCTCTCACTATGTGATTACCCTGAAAGCATTTAACAACGTGGGTGAAGGCATCCCCCTGTATGAGAGTGCTGTGACCAGGCCTCACACAGGTAAGGTATTGTGTCTATATCTGGCCTTCAGTACTTTTTCCAGCGGCTTACATAGAACATAGGCATGAGGCCTGCCTCATAGGTGCAGTAGAAGGAGAAGGGTTTAGACTACAAATGGGGAAATGAGCTTTGCACATGTAAAGTTCTATTCATTCCTGTTTTGCTTTTTGGAAAATATTAATCCTATGTCACCTATTCTGTGTAGATATGTATACATGTTTTCAATGTGTTAGATCTAGAAAGCACAGATTTGAGAGAATTAAATGTGATTTTCCATCTTTGGGGCATGTGAATTATAATTAAAGTGAGTCAAAAAATGAAAGAACCTCCATATTTCTAGTGGAATTCAACTGATTGTGGCAGCAAATGTATGTGATTGGTGAATGCAACATTTCCCTCACTACTCATCAGAGTTGCTTGGGAAAGTATTTTTCTTTGTGCCTTTCTTAAGCTTTATTTATATAAAGAAAAAAGTTAGAAGTACCATCCATTTGATCAATTATACATTTATTATAGGAGTGACTGAATATTCATTATTTTTTTCTTTGAATTATCTATTTTAAATATCTCTACAATAAAGTAAAAAAAATATGTAATGTAAATTTTTTACAGAAATATGAGACATCTAATTTAGATCTGAATGAGAAAGTTTATTCAAGTTTATTGAAGTATTGATAATTATTAAAGCTGTACATTTTTTTAAAGGGTACTGAAAATCACAGAATTTATTTTCAGAAATGTTCTTTTTAATTTATTTCCCAGAATTTTGAGTTTGTATTGTCTGCTATGTCTTCTGGATACTTTGCATAATAGCACGTATTTGGCAACGCTCTTTTTAAAAGAGGTTCTCTGTCCCTTTTTGTTTGTTTCAAGCTTCTACTTAAGACCAGCATTATAACTGCATGTTTGGTAGTCCTGTCCTGTCTTCTGCTCCTATGTGCTTACAACGTATAAGTTCTTTTAGAAATACCTTTAGTATTCCAGAATGGAAAAAAATTAAGGTCAAAAAGAAAATATTTAAATCAGCGGTCTGCTACTTTCTTACAATCAAGCTATAATTGTGTCTATATCTGGCCTTCAGTACTTTTTCCAGTGGCTTACATAGAACATAGGCATGAGGCCTGCCTCATAGGTGCAGTAGTTTTGAAATTATTTTCTTTTATGTGACTTAAAAATATAGCTTACTGGCTAGAAACATACAAGGAAATGTTTCTATGTCATGTAACCTAGTTACCTTTTCCAAGAGCTGGTACATGCAAGAAAAAAATTTTCTCAAAGAATTGTAATGATTTCTGTACCTGAAGGTGCATTTTCTGTAACTAATTGGTATGTTTAATGGCAGTCTTTGAACAAAGCCATTGATTATAATGTATGCTGCTCCTCTGTTATTTTTAGCCATAATTTTGCAAGAAAAACACAATGGAGACTATTACTTTAGCTTAGCAATTATTCATAAACAAGGCCTGTGCCATTTCAGATTCTGAATTAAAGGAAAGACTAGGCACCATTACTATGGGAAACTCATTTTAAAATCTGAACTTAAAATAAATCAGTATGCGTATTCTTAGAAAACCTAACCAAAAATTGGGAAAGCCCAAATGGATCCTGCTGTATTACGTTAGGTCCCTGGTCCTTGCTTTTGTGTACATTTGGCCTCTAGTTTTTCAGTGACACTTAGAGATGTGTCTGTTGCATGTGGCACAGGACAGCACATGAATATAGAATTTCTTTTCCATCAAATGAGTACTCTGGCTTCTTAAGTTCATGAAAGCTGTGTCACTTGAACCCATGATAACCATGGCATTTCCCGTAGCTGTTGGGGATTCATCACTGAGTTGTTCACTGACTGCTGGTCTCTGAAAGTGCCTCAGATAGTGTGGCATCAGGTTACCTTTCCTCAAAGAAGAGTAATGCCCTTAGTTCCTTCTGCTTTATTCTGGTGTGAGCCATATCACCAAACTACCTTTAGACCCAGGATATCAGGAGGTCTGACCCTGTGTGGGTATCAGATACCCCCAATACCAAGACCAGGTTGAGTTCCATTGGCTGACATTCAGACTCGGGTTTGAGAATAGGACCCTTACATGTCCAGAGATATACACCGATAACTCATGTCCCAGAAATTCAGCCACATTCATTGAAAATTCAAAACAGAGCATGAGCTTTGTGTTGCTTGTTTAGAAAATATGCCCTTGATTTTAAAGCAGTTTTTGTCTTTTCATGATCCTTTTTGAACAGGAGGTAGAATTTTCAAGTAAGTCTTTTAAAATTTCATGCATGCATGCTCATATAATCACTGGATTATTACATTTTAATATGCCTATAGAATGCAGTAGAGAATATAGTTAATTACTGCTTCTCTCAACATTTTCCTGCAAATTTTTTCTGAAAGAACACCCTTGGAAATATTCTTTTAAATGAATGGTGGTTGTCTATTAACTCTGGATTTTCTTTCTTTTTCTCCATTTGTCACCTTTCATTCCATTATATTACCCTGCATTTTCCTTTTCTTTTATTTTTGTTTATGTTAAAATGCCACTTTCTTTTTTAAATTACTTTCTACCCAGACACTTCTGAAGTTGATTTATTTGTTATTAATGCTCCATACACTCCAGTGCCAGATCCCACTCCCATGATGCCACCAGTGGGAGTTCAGGCTTCCATTCTGAGTCATGACACCATAAGGATTACGTGGGCGGACAACTCACTGCCCAAACACCAGAAGATTACAGACTCCCGATACTATACAGTGCGATGGAAAACCAACATCCCAGCAAACACCAAGTACAAGGTACTGACATATTTACACTAGGTGAAAGAAAAGCTAATCATTGATATTTTCTAATTTTAAAGTTCTCAATTCATATTTTTCCAGAATGCAAATGCAACAACTTTGAGTTATTTGGTGACTGGTTTAAAACCAAATACACTCTATGAATTCTCTGTGATGGTGACCAAAGGTCGAAGATCAAGTACATGGAGTATGACAGCCCATGGGACCACCTTTGAACTAGGTATGTGTTGTCAGAACCCACGTCACATAGCATTTCTTCCCTTTGCAAGATATGAAAGTCAGCAAAGTCTGTGCTGATGTTGTGCCATATTCCAAGTCATGAGACTTCTCATCACCTGCTGTTTTACTACACAAGGAAAGAACTGAGTGCATGAATTGACATATTTCTAGAACACAGCCATTACATTTGGAGTTTAGAGTTTACTATTTCAACTGATGAATTATAGTTTTGTCATCACTTACAAGAACATTAACAAATAAGATAGTATAAAGCAAAACATACTAGATTTTAGAAATCAAGAGATGAGTTCAATTCCAGGTCAACCAATCTACCCACTATGATCGTGAGCAAGTCATTGAACTTCTCGGAATCTTGGTTTCTTTCATCTGTAAAAGAGGGGTACTAGCCTCTGCCTGTCCTACTTTATAGGGTTACTGTAGGGGTAAAATTAGGAACAGATGGGAAAGCACATGGTACACTATAAAGCACTGGGTAGATGTAAGGGATTATTGTCATTAATCCTGCTTTACTGGTAAATTGAGATAGAAAAGATTAAGTGACCTGCTTTTGACGAACCAGTTGCCAATGCCATGCTTGCTAAGACCTAAACACATTGCCAGGTGACCCCAAAGCTGCCTCTTCCAAAGCTGCCTCTTCCAAAGCAATTTGTGTCTTTTAAAATCCACTGAAATATCCTGAGGGTTTTTGTAAATGGAAATGAGAGGGGGGAAAATGACTAAGTAAATTAAGGTGAGAGCAGGCTATCTGGGTTTGAGGTTGGGTTTGCTTTTTGCTCACTTTTAGACCTATCCTTGTACTACCAGTTGGCCTCCCCTAGCATGGGGATATGTGTAGCCATTGAGAGTCTGTCTATCCTTGTATTAGTCTATTTCTGTTGCTTATAACAAAATACGCGGAACTGGGTAATTTGTGAGGAAATGAAATTACTTACAGTTTCAGAAACTGTGACGTTCAAAGTCCAGGGAACACGTCTGGTGAGGGTCTTCTTCAATGGTGGCTTTACAGCAATGCTGGGGTCTCACATGGCAGAAAATGGCAGAGCAGAGAGACAGAGACTCTCACGTGCTCTCCTTTTAATTTCCTCAGAACCACACCCCTGACCACCATTATTAATCCATTCACTACGGCATGGTTTGACAATCTGATCACCTCTTGAAGGCCTCACCTTTCAATTACAATAGGATTTCCCACCCTCAACAGTTATGGGAATTAAGCTTCTAATATATGAACTCTGAGGGACACAATTCAGTCAATCTACAGCATTCTGCCCCCGGCCCCCAAAGTTCGTGTTCTTCTCACAGGTAAATACATTCATTCCAACCCTAAAGTATTAACTTGTTTCAACTCAAAAGTCCAAAGTTCAAAGTCCCATCTGTGAAATCAAAACAAGTTATCTACTTCCAAAATACAATGGTGGGACAAGCATAGGGTACATATTCCCATTCAGAAAGGGAGAAATAAGACAAAAGAAGGGGGAAACAGGTCCTAAACAAGTCCAAAACCCAGCAGGGCAGGCATTAAATCTTAAAGCTGGTGAATCTTGGGCCGGCCCGGTGGCACACTGGAGAGTGCGCCGCTTGGGAGTGCGGCGGCGCTCCCGCCAAGGGTTTGGATCCCATGTGGAGACCGGTTCCCGCTCACTGGCTGAGCGCGGTGCGGGCGCGACACCGAGGGTTGCGATCCCATTACTGGTCAGTAAAAAAGACAAAAAGGAAAAAAAAAAAGCTGGTGAATCTTGGGCCGGCCCGGTGGCACACTGGAGAGTGCGCCGCTTGGGAGTGCGGCGGCGCTCCCGCCAAGGGTTCGGATCCCATGTGGAGACCGGTTCCCGCTCACTGGCTGAGCGCGGTGCGGGCGCGACACCGAGGGTTGCGATCCCATTACCGGTCAGTAAAAAAGACAAAAAGGAAAAAAAAAAAGCTGGTGAATCTTGTACCTTGACTCTGTGTTTGACGTCCTCTGCATGCTAGTGTGGGGGTTGGGTCCCCAAGTCCTCAGGCAGTTCCACTTCTATGTCTTTCCTGGTCTCAGGCCATGCTTCAGCTCTTGCAAGTTGGTGTTGCACACTGGTAGCTCTACAGTTCTGAGATCTCCATGGTGGTCGCACTCCCACAGCTCCAATAGGCATGGCCTTGGTGGGTTTTTTCTGCTGCATCTCCAACTGCACATTTCTCTTGGCATTGCTCTAGCAAAGGCTATATGTAGTGAATCCACCCCTGTGCCCCTGCAAAAGATCTCTTCTTGGGTCCCCAGGCTTTGACATACATCCTTTGAAATTGGGGTAGAGGCTGCCAAGGCTTCACAGCTCTGGCATTCTGTGAGCCTGCAGACCTAACACCCCATGGACACTGTCAAGGCTTCCAGCCTGTATCACCTGGGGCCAATTTAGCCATGGCTGGAGTAGCCAAGCAGCTGGGGTGCTGGTACTGGAAGCAGCTCCTAAAGGTGGCCCTGGGCAGTGAGCCCATGGAGGGTGCCTTGGGCCTGTTCCCTGAGAACTTTCTATCTCCCTAGGTCTCTGGGCTTGTAATGGAAGGGTTGGCCCCAGAGTCTTCTGCAATGCCTTCAGGGCCTTTTCCCACTTCTCCTGATAATCCCTTTCTTTTGTCCTAATCTTTTTAGTACAATTGCATTTTTTCTCCTGAAAATGCTCTCTGTTTCTTTACCACATGGCCTGGTTGTAAATTTTCCAAATCTTTACACTCTTCTTTCTTTTTAAGTTCTGGCTTTACATCATGGCTTTGCCACCCTAACTCATCATAGGCTGTTACAAGTAGCCGTGCAGCTTCCTGAATGTTTTGCTGCTTAGAAATTTCTTCTGCCAAATACCCTGAGTCAGCACCTTGAAGTTCCACATTCCATAAAACTTTTGGGCATGAACAGACTGCAGCCAGGTTCCTTGCAAGTTCATAACAAGGATGATCTTTGCCCCAGTTTCCAATAAAATCCTTCTTATTTCGATCTGAGATCTCCTCAGAATGGCCTTTACAGTCCATATCTCTCTGAGCATTCTGGTCACCATCATTTAACCAGTTTCTAAAATGTTCCAAATTTTTCCTGGTTTTCTTGTCTTCTAAACTCTCACCAGCAGCTAAGCTTTTTCTAGCCTCCTCCTCCAAATTCTTCTAGCCTCTCCTCAACACCCAGTTCCAAAGCCACTTCCACATTTTCGTGCATTTGTTATAAGCAGCACCCCACTTCTCTAGTACCAATTTTCTGTGTTAGTCCTTTTCCCTCCTCCAAATTCTTCTAGCCTCTCCTCAACACCCAGTTCCAAAGCCACTTCCACATTTTCATGCATTTGTTATAAGCAGCACCCCACTTCTCTAGTACCAATTTTCTGTGTTAGTCCTTTTCTTTGCTTATAATAAAATACACGGAACTGGGTAATTTGTAAGGAAATGAAATTTATTACTTACAGTTTTAGAGGCTGGGAAGTCCAAAGTCCAGGGAACACATCTGGTGAAGGTCTTCTTTGGTGGGGGCTTTCCAGCCATGCAGGGGTCTCACATGGCAGAAAATGGCAGATCAGAGAGACAGAGACTCTCATATGCTCTCCTTTTAAAGCCCACAGAACCATGCCCCTGAGCACCACTATTAATCCATTCACTATGGCATGGTCATACAATCTAATCACCTCTTCAAGGCCCCACTGTCAATAGCTAAAGTGGGGATTAAGCTTCTAATATATGAACTTTGGGGGACACAATTCGGTCAATCCACGGCAACTCCTATTTCTTTCTCTCCTATATATGAATAAAGAAAAAAATGTAGCTATAAATTCTTCACAAGCTGGGCTTGGCCCTAATATTTTTTTTCTTCTGCACAGTTGGTTGGACTTCCTACAGAGAAAAAGGCTGGATTTGGAGAATTAGAAATACAGTGCACAAAAGTTTAAATAAACCTTGAGCTTGCTTGCTTCACCAGCATTTTAAGAATATCTTTTTGCTTTAATTCCAGTGCATTAGCTGATAAATGGATTGTGTTTTCCTTTAGGATGTTTACATTTCACCAGGCATCCTTCCATTTTATACTAGGAGAGTTCCCAGTATTTTAGGAAGAAAAGAGTAAACTTAAAGGTGTACTTAATTTGTTCATTTCCCTATTAGTACATTAAAAGTTTTCAGCTATAACATGGAAACACAAGAAATGCACTGTTCTTTTCATTTTACTGATTTTTCTGCTTCATAAACAGCTTTTCTTTTGAGCAATACCTCAATAGTTGGTAGTATGTTTTCAATGTAAACTTAAAATAAAAAAATATCAGTTTGTAAATGATTTATTCTTTGAGGAAATAGGGCTTTTAAAAGTCATACTTGGTTTGGAGATCCAACAATAAGTGGGAGAAAAACTATTTTATACTTAAAAGTATTATAACAAAATAATCCAAATTGGGGAACTGGAGAAAGTCATCTTGAACAAGTTGCATAACTTCTCTCATTTTTGGTGTCCTGATCTATAAAGCAGGGTTAGTGATAAATACCTTTCAAGGTTGCCAAAAATATTAAGTTAGATACCAATTGTACAATGCCTGCCATATATCAGGTACTTGGTACAAATGTCATTTAATTTCCCAACCTAACTATCCTCCTGATATCCCTGACTCCCAGACAAGATGCTAATCCTGTATCTCATAGTATGGTATCTTTTCTTTGGTACTTTTGTATATTCCTCTTTTTATTGGAACTAAATATAGACAGACTATGAGTTCTTTGAAGCCAGGAAGCTTTATCTTTTTGTCTTGTACCCTATATTGTACTTTATAAATGGAAAGAGTTGTGAAAATGGTGAATTAAATTCGAATGGACAGGAATTATTAAAAGTATTATTTTGTAGTTCCTACTTCTCCACCCAAGGATGTGACAGTTGTGAGTAAAGAGGGGAAACCTAGGACCATAATTGTGAATTGGCAGCCTCCCTCTGAAGCCAATGGCAAAATTACAGGTAAGAGGCCTTTGAGTGTGTGTTTGTCTGTGCCCTGTTCCTGCCTGGCAGCAGCATTCCAGGAGAGTCCTGTGTTGTTGGGAAAAGTGAGAGTCTGAGGCTGGCTTGGTGATTTTATGGAGTGATGTGAGTCATGATGGTCCTTCAGGTTGGAGCAAAGGTGTGTTGTTTGTCCATAGTGGCATACAAACAAGTCACCAGCTGGCGGCTCTGACTCACACTGCCTGCAAGTCTGATGGGGATGGGATACACTAGACAGCCTTTGGCTGTAGTGGGACTTTGTGGATATACTTACTTTCCTCAGAAAACCTGTTCTTCTCTGCTTCTGCCAAGATGACCAGCTTTGGAGTTATACAACCCACACCTAATTCTACAGGGTAATACCCAGTAAATATAGATTCTGCTCTTTTACCCTGAAGCCTGAAAGAAGTCCATTAGGCCTTTCATGACTTTCTCCTTCAGGCTGGCTACTTCAGGTTCTGTGCTCTTACAACTAGAGTTAAAAGTTTGAACTGGCCTAGGCCTTTGAAGGGACCTGGAATTTTTCCTTGGGCTTCCAGAGGAGAACTTTCACAGTAGAGAGGACACTATGCCTTCCTCGGTCTTATCAAGGAGGAAAGCCTGAAGAGATTTAGCTGCAAATTATTCCCTTTGGAGCCTCTGCTTCGTGTAGGTGTGTGCTGAGGAACCAGAGTTTGCCTCCTGAAGTTCCTTTATAGGAATAAGGTGGCCTGGGAAACAGGAAGCATTTCTCAGCACTGTCCTGCTTCTAGCTTTTAATAGGAATCCCTTTCAATAAATCCTGGTCTTTATGTCATTTTTTTAGGTTTTGACTCTGCCTCTTCTATAGAAGAATCAAGCATGACTTGTCCTGGATTACATTTTACTTTGCTTTTAAAACGAGTAACAACACTGTGTTTTTTGTGTAGTGCATTTTTTGCACTGTGTGGGTCAGGCAGGCTTGTGGTTGTGATGCTTTCTGCCTCAACTGTGGGGTTTGAGTGCCCCCTTGTGGAAGTACCAGGTGACAATTTACTATGGCTTCACCCAC